GGGGAAGGAGGGGGCAGGAGGGGGGGAGGAGGTGAAACAGAGAATGATCCCCGATGACGGCCCCCTAGGGTCGGGTAGGCGTCAGGAAGGGTTTCACGGGTTTGAAGGGGCGTGACGTGTGTGTATGCGTGTACGTGTGTGTATGTGTGAGGGGTGTGTATGTCCATGTGTGAGGAGTGTGTATGTGCATGTGTATGTGCATGTGTGAGGAGTGTGTGTGTGTCTGCGGGGAAGGGGGGTTCAGCGGGTGGTGTTCTCTCGCCCTGGTGCCCGCTCACAACAGGGTCCTGCAGGGCAGCGCAGGTACCCCACCCCCTTTAGGACGCCACACGCACACACAGACTGGACAGCCTTCCCTTCCTTCCCTTCTCTTCCCGTACACACAGTCGGAAGACACACACATCTGTGCCCCCTCTTACTCCCTCCCTTCGTTACTCCACCACACCGGCACTGGTGGCTAGCCAACCAAAAGCCATGTAGGTGGATACGTAGACTGATGGGGTAAGTAGGTGGTAGACCGATGGGGTAAGTAGGTAGGCGATAAAAATATATATAGGTGGATAGCTGGGTAGACACAGAGGCCATTGCTAACTCGATATGCATGTAGACAGGCAATACACAGGTAGCTCAGTGTTGCACTCCTCCTTCTCTTCTTCTTCTTCTTCTTCTTCTTCAGGTTTACGTTCCCATCTCTTCCTCCTCTGCAGCCTCCCCAGACTAACAAAATAACAAAGCCCCTAACACACCCCTCACCTTACATCATCCCCGACTGACCAACCCGCGGGGCCGCTGCCCACTACCTCCCCTCCACCGCCGCCGTCGCCACCGCCAGGCAGCGCCGCCGTCTCCGGCGCCGCCAGCGACATTCGCGACGGCCCCGTCACCCACCCGCCACTTGTGCCACCTCCGCCTCCGCCGCTGCTCCCGCCGCCGCGTTGCGCATCCCCCGCCGACGCCGGCCGTGACCCACGCTGGGACATTGGCCGCCGCATCTCCATCGCGCCCGGTGCTGCTGCAGCCGCCGCCGCCGCCGCCAAAGTCGTCGTAGCCGCTCCCTCCGCAATTGCATGCGGCGCAACACCAGCACCGGGGGCTGCAGCGCCCCCCCCACCAGGCCCCCCACCAGCAGCTCCGTCAGCCTGCGGCGGCGCCGGTCTCCCGCGGTTTCCAAACCCCCGGACGTACGGCCTGCCCCCCGCTGGACGCGCCTCGTACACGAGCGCCGGCAGGTCCTGCTTCCGCTCAATGGCCATCTCCACCAGGGCCTGGACGACAAGGGCAGCGACACAGGTCTAAAGGCCATCCACAGGTTTCCCGCCCGATATGGGCAGCTCAGCGCAGCGCAGCTCACCTCAGCGCAGCGCAGCAGGATCGGAAAGCGGAAAGAGCGAGAAATGGCATCCGTGTGCAGTTGGCGGCGGATACCGGGTGTTCAGATCAGAAAGAGCTGTGCGCTCCCGCGCGGTGTCCTAAACAGGACCCACAGCGGTTTCCCCAACAGACCAAAACGACCCCCCACCCAATCCCCATCATTCCCCGGCAGCTTCTCCTCCCTCCTTCCCCCAAAAGGGGATTGCCGTAACCTTTACGTCGTATACCTTGAGGGGCCCGCCGGGGATGAGTACGGCAGCAATGTCGTACAGCGCCATGAGGACGAGAATGACCCAGGCAGTCCACTCCGGGATCCACGTGAAGATATACGCCACGATGATGCCCACCCAGATCAGGTACAACTGCGATAGAGACGACGACGGCGATATGGACGACGAACTTGTATTGTTGCCGTTTGCATGTGTGTGAAAAAATGCGGCTGGGCGAGAGAGAGAGAGTGTGTGTGTGTGTGTGTGTGTTGCGAACAGTTAGACAGGGGATTGGGGAATCATGTTGAAGTCTGTAGGAAATCTCTTGAGCAAATCCCCCCTGGCCCCCCCCCCTGGCCCCCCCCCCTGGCCCCCCCCCTGGCCCCCCCCCCGGGCCCCCCCCCCGGGCCCCCCCCCGGGGCCCCCCCCCGGGCCCCCCCCCCGGCCCCCCCCCCGGGGGCCCCCCCCCGGGCCC